CGAGTCGGTTCCATCTTCCTTTATCCCCCTCCACTGCTCTCGTAAGCTCTTTGTCTTTTCTGAGATCGTTCTTTTAGCTCTCTTTGATGCCATCACTTCAGCTCACCTTCTCGCAGTCCTTCAATTTCTCATCGAACTTCTCTCTAGTCATCATTGCATCTGCCTTTTAACCTCCGGTTTTAGTCTAAATGGGCTCTTGGAGCACCGCCTCGTCGAGTACCTACGATCGTTGTCGACGGTTCGCTATCTCATCTAGAAAACCTTTTTTCATCTTCTTGAGAGTTAGTCTATTCCCCACCAACCTGTAGTCAGTGCTGGTATTGAATGATAACTAATGGTATTGTTGCTGTTTCGGCAGAAATCGATTTCGTTTTTCATCACCGCCGTCAGTTAACCTCCATATCTGTAGGTCGCTCCCTTATTCGCCACCCGGGGGATTCGCCAGATGGCCAGAAACTTTACACACTGGCGCACAATTACTTATGCAATTGAATAACAATACTGGCTATTACAAATGATCTTAGTGTTCAACGTATGTGTAGGTCATTCATTCAGTCGGAGGCTGCTAGGCTACTTATGTCACAGCCAAGCAACACTGCCCCCTGTCCATTTTTTAATAAATATCGCACCGCTTATCATTTAATCAAACTCACTGCAATTTTCCAACTTGATGAAGAGTTTTCGATTATCCACGGTGAGTGATGACGCTAGTTATCCGTATTAGCAAAATTTTTGCGGAAGAAATTGCATTCCACATTGCAGATATCACAGTCGCAGTAGACTGCCATCTGAACGTGAACGTATTGGCCGAAGACAGTCATCTTTTTTATAGAATTCAGTGCACAATTGCATGGCATCACGATATTCATTGCCAGTTCAATCAGTAACTAGAACCAAGCTCAATTGCAGGTCACTTCTACCACTTCTCGAAAAGACGTTGAGAGAGCGAAATACTCAGAAGCCGTGACTACGACTAAATGTTATCCTTTGGTCATGGTCATCATTGGCTTCGGACTGAATAATTATTGCCGCAGTGCCACCCTGAAGGATCTGTTCAACAAATTTTATTAGTCGGCAAGAGCGAGATATTCTGATCACAGTCAATTAGCTAAACAATCACGTCAGTCAGACATTATTCATCTGTTCCAGCGAACATTTACACTGTAGCAAAGATGCCAACTCTGCATATCTTGCATAAGCTTTGTCTCGTCTGTTCCGAAGAAACTACTTAACCAGCAGTACAGATCAGAAGCTCGAATCTCTCTCCAAACAAACTACGTGCCATAGAAGACTCAAACAACTCTCAAACTTCATCAAGGGACCTACCCTGAGAAAGATTTGTACTATGCGGGTCGAAGCGTTGATATCGCTTCTCACCTAACTGATCAT